TGTCGGACTCTGGAGGCCATTACTACCAATACATACGGTATTGAAGTAAAGAATATTATTTTCTTATTTAGGAATAATTTTAGCATTCATTGAAATAACGCCAATCATTAAACTGTCAGTAAAAATACCCTAGCAAAGTCATAAACAAAAACATCTTTATACTGGACCAATTTGGTTAGGCCTACGCTTAAAAAGGTATTTATAGAAATTTATAACAATTCTAATAACAATACACTATTTTTATCTCTTTGGTACGAATATTATATAGAAATGTGAGCATGTATATTTTCTATTTAATGTTACATAACGACACTACAAATAACAAAAACATGCACTTATGATAATTATTACCAATAAATACTCTATTATGATGGTATTTTTTTCCGAAAATTATATTTATGTATTTTATTCATTGGGCACCACAATTTGTTACATAATAATGGTGTAATATTTTAAAGCAAATATTTTTTTAAATAAACTACATAATCGCAGTACTTGAGTTAATTATTAGCATTTATATTATACAGTTATTAATCTGTAATAAATTATGTAAGTACAGTACAACTCTTAAATAACTCCGTAAACCTTGTGATATCTTAAGCCTGACATTCATTTCAAATGTCAAGCATTAACTCTAAATAAATTTTTTGTGCAAATCTTATTTTCTCTTGTGTATTAGTATTATTTGTATTAGAAAAATTCAGTTTGTTCATCAGTTTCTTATTTTGTGTAGAATTTACGGTAATTACAAAGTAAAGACAATGTTTAGCTATTGTTTAACAAAAAGATAAGCATTGTGAAAAATAAGTGCAATTTAAAAAATTTCATTAGCATTTGAACTATATTTCGGAAATATCTGACGAAAAGTGTTCACATTTTTATTGTCGATTTGATTGACAGAGAAAAGTAAGAGACGATTCATTTACAGTCCATTAGGAGTGGAAAAGGAGATTCACTTTTATATTGGCATTCATATGGAAAAAATGCTTTTCATGAAGCTATAACATCTATAACATAGTGTATATGCATTAACGGGTCGATTATTAGGGCTTCAAATTAGGCTATAAATAGCGTTTACAGCGGAGATCGACATCGAAAACAAGTTTATTTATCCGATGAAAAACATTTCACTCAATATGTTATGTGCAAATGGGAGAGAATTTCAATTTTTTCTGATCACATCAACCCTTTTGTTATATAAATTAGTTTTCAACCAAACTCCAATCAATTATATTTTTAGGCATAATTTGAGTTTATTTGGCGAAAAAGGAGTAATTGATTGCCTTTTCTCGTCAGTCAATGAACTATTATAGTCTGAATTGAATTGTTTGGCATTTTTGCTAATTTGGTTGAAGCTATTAAGTTAATCATCCATTTCTTTTATATATATAATGTTACAAATTATTTATTATTTTAGCACAATATTTAGCATTCGTTGAAACTTTATATTTAATTATGAAGGTATTGATTTAAAAATAATGTTAAATCATCTAATTTATGGGAATTAAAGAAAGTACGTTAAAATAGAATCTAGAAACTTTTTAATCAATTATAAAAATTGTAGATATACAGTATGTTTTATATCAATTATATATATTTTTGTCCTTTTCTATTAAATTATAGTTATTTTTATTTCATATTTCATATAAAAATTTAATTAAAATTATCAAAATTTGAGGAAATCGACATTGTAATAAAACATAAAGTTAGGTAAATAATAATTGTATTAATGGATTAAAGAAGTGTAGTGAGTTAAAATTACGTTAAAAATGTTTAATTAAATCGATAAAGATCAAACATGTAACAAGTAACAAGCTTGATATTTTAGTCATCATGTACAGTATTTATCGGTTGTTTTATTTAAGAAATAGTTAGTTTTTACTCCCAAATATATTGATACAATCTAAATGATGGTTGTTATTCTGAGCAGATCTCATAATAGTAAAATAATCTTATACCATAAATCAATATGTTCTTGTGGTATGATACATTAAATTATTTAAAATTCTAAAGTAAACTAAAAAATTAATGCAATATTAATCTAATTTGAATGTATATTACGTAACAGTTAAATATGAATAACCTATTAATGAGTTCACAAAACCAATAATTTAGTGCCGGAATTATAGGTATCCGTAGGTTATGTTGTAATGCATGGCATATATTGTGCTAAAATATTATGCAAAGTTATAAAACAATTTATTGAACATATTATTATCCCTTTATTGCAGCCATAAGTCATGCATAACTGTTATTAAATTAATATTATCACAAATATTATACATTAAAATTGCTATCATTTAATGTTTTATTTGATAATAAAAATCTTGTATTCATTCACTAAAATACTTTATCGTAACTATCTATGTAAATGTTAAAATTTTTAATTTTCTTATGAAATTGTATTGATTTAGCGATAATTTATAAACGGAGTCACATTGCTGTCAAAACAAAGGTATTATTTGATAATTTATTTGTGTTTTTCGCTAATAATCTATTTGTGGTAAACGTTATCCAATGGAGACAATAATGCTGTATTTACAGTACAGGGCTATACATGATATCCATTCTCTCATATACTACACTCATAGGACTTAAGTAATATAATAAGAGCTTTGCAATTTTGTTAATTATGTTTTCACGTTATTGACCAAATATAAAAATATAATCAATGGGAAAATGACTAACACTTGCGCCCAGAGTGTACATGTATAAATATGTGTTATGTTTAACTAAAAGTTTATTAAATAAATTTCATATATTATATAACAGTTAATTATGTTTTATTTCTGTTTCTAATATAAAATAATACACAACGATCGCTCACACTGTAAACATAGAAATACAAATAAACGGTCTAATAATACCTGTTGTCAAGAATGAAATTAATTTAATGCCTAACGGACTGGTGTTTTGACTACAAAACTAGTCGTCTATTTGTCGGTAGTTTGGAGTTCCTGTGTATATAACTCTATGTTTAATGTCTACAAATCTATCAAATATCTTAAAACATTATTCTTAAAGTTATATAACTTTTTCAAAGTGTGAATACAGAGTAAATTAATATTAAATATAAGTTAATATTAATATTAATTTATTAATTATACTCACTAAATAACCAATTGGATTCATATAAATATGATTAATATTTAAAATAATTTTTATCTCTTAAATAAAATTAATTATTAATATAACAGTTAGTTTTTATGATCAAGAATTGCCATAAAAATATTGGAAATGTATGTCCATTGATGTAAAAGTATATTATATTACATATACGGTATGAGTGCGGTATAAGTGATGGATATAAAAGTATAGTCTAACTAATATTACATGATTGTAATAAACATCAGGTGCTAAAGCACTTGTATTCCCAATGAAAGCTCATCCCCATCCCCATCAGTCCATTCAGAGATTGAACATATGTGTCATACAGTGAAGTGTCCTTTCAGATAATCACTGTCTTATTCAACAAAATATCCATTTCTTAAGATATTTCTCTTATTTTCAAGATAACCTGACATCAATACAATCTTGCTAGCTAATATTTAATGCATATTATGTATTAATAATTTATTAAAATATTAATATTTTCCAGATTACTTATTATAATTATTATAATATATTTAGTTAATATTAGATAAGAATCTATATTTGCGTATTTCATACAATGTACTCTCATATCAAATACTTATTTTTAATACAAAATATAATATTTAAAAGTAAATATTTAAAGGAAAATAGTCGTTAAGTTTTCGTTATAAATATTTATACTCATTAGAGATACGGTTATAAATAATAGAGTATTTACCACAAATATGGTGATTTGCATAACAACTTAAATCTTAACACAGTAATTAGTTTTGGAATTTATATTCAAGCTTAAATACACAAACAAAATATTTTCATTACAATTCAATATGTAAGTAGATTTTCAAAAGCACTAACACTGAAGTAACTTGAATTATAAGTTTTTAATTAAATTATTAGTTATTTTAATTTTTTAATCACTGATAAATGCAATATGTTATTTACTAATAATATACAAAACATTTTACATGTAAATATACATATATTTTTTATTTCATATAGAACAAAATAATATTCTATATGTACTACAGTATTGTGTAATAATATGTTATGTTAAATATGTGGATATTGTTATTGTATAAGTAGAGTATAAGACATACCAGAGTGTACAGACCACTGGCGAAACTACCATTCTTTACAGACTTGAAACAACAGCAACGGGAAAGGATTGACATCTTGGTTACTTAGCTTGGTAAAATTGAACACTAATTAAAAAGAGATTAAAGATTATTTTCAATATAATTTTCAGAAAATAAAAATAGAAAACTTACCACTAAAATACAAATAAAATGTTTAGTTATTTAAATTATAACCATGGATGTGGATATTTAACAAAACTTAGTTATTTGAACTCGGTGTAATAAATTATTTGTAAACTTTTGACGAGTTTGTCGACTATTTCCATAGAAAGTTATAATATATGGCAAGTGTTGTGCACTCAGTATAATACTTATGTAACGGCAAACACTCGGCAGTGCTGTTCATCACCCGGTGCTCAATGGGCTCACAGGAGAAGCGCTTATATGAAGCACTTGTGAGAGAGTGAAGTGAGAGGATGACTGTTGTGGCGACCAATAGATGAACATAACTGCCAACCACTCCATCTCTCTCTCTCTCTCTCTCTCTCTCTCTCTCTTCTCAAATTAAAAAGTGTTTACTATTTAAATAATAAATATGAACATGTTGATCAAATAGATACATAACATCTAATTATAGAAGTTATTTATAAAACATATACAAAAACAGATTCTGTAATTTATGTTTAACCAAAATTTTTTTTGATATTTTAGTTGTAACATTAAAACATTAATCAAACAATATAAAATAATAAAAATATACTGCTGTATATTATAAATAACATCTAATAAGTAGATTAAACTAAATTTTGGTTTAAAATATANTTAAAAGCAATGGTTTCTATAAGTATAAGTCTGCAGTTAATTAGTATTTCAGTGGTTATACTAAATCGTCAGACAATCCACGACTCAGTGTCCGACAGACAATGGGACGACACCTATGACTACATAGTGATTGGTGCCGGTGCTGCCGGCTCTGTAGTGGCGTACAGGTTGGCCGAGGACTGTAGGACCAGAGTATTACTGCTGGAAGCGGGTGGACCTCAAAGTGTTGAGACAGATATCCCCACAAACTCGAGATCTCTGCTTAATTCGGATTATAATTGGAATTTTCATACCGTTCCTCAAACATGGTTTACGCCGTATAGAGTGCCAGAGCCAAGGGGTAGGGCTATCGGCGGGTCGTCTACTATTAATAATATGATTTACAACAGAGGCAACCGAAGGGACTTTGACTTATGGGTCACAGAGTTTGGTGCCTATGGTTGGAGTTATGACGAGATTTTGTATTATTTTATTAAATCCGAGAATAACACCGATTATAATATAGTGTCCGCTAATCCCGGTTATCACGGAACCAATGGGAGGGTCAAGATATCCTTGAATCCAAGTCCCGCTCCCATTCTCCTCATACACAACAGAGTCCTCAATGAGTTGGGTCTCCCGGACACCGATATTAATGGCCCGCAACAGTTGGGCACTACAATCGCCCAGTCGTTCATTTACGAGGGCATCCGCTCCAGTACTGGCAACTCATACCTCGAGCCCAACCCATTCCCCAAAAATCTACATATTTTAACCCATGCTTTTGTCACGAAAATCCTATTCAATACTATTAACAATAAATTAACGGCAACTGGCGTTGAATTCGCCAAAAATGGTTATGTGTATCATGTAATGGCCAACATAGAGGTTATCTTGAGCGCCGGTATTTTATAACATACTTCATTTCAAACAAATTATTAACAAATAATATTATAACCTTATATTCAGGTGCATTCAATTCGCCGCAAATATTAATGTTGTCAGGAATTGGACCAAAAGACCATTTAACACAACTAGGAATACCTGTGTTGGTAGACCTGCCTGTAGGTAACAACCTCCAGGACCACCCGACCACTTCAATCCACACCACACTTAATGACGAACGATTAGCAGCTCCGGGACCTCTACTAAATGTGCAACAATTATACGAGGAGTTAGTGGAGAAGACTGGCCCCCTATCGGTGCTGACGAGCTCTATATTCTTCTACACCACACATAGTATTAAAGACAAAGAATGGCCAAACACCTACATGTACTCCATTGCAGAATACGTGAGTAATCTAAACAATACGGTGGCGGAAATGCCAGCGCATAGGGATGTCTGGATGGAGTACTTCCGGCCTTATTTGAATCGACACCTATTGCTCACATCACCACATCTGTCGCGCATCAGGAGTTACGGCACATTACGTCTGGCATCGAGTGACCCATTCGTGTACC